AGCACCTCTCCTATGAAGACAGGCTCTTCACAGACAGATTGGAATTGTTCAGCATGGAGAAGAGGCTCCAGGGAGACCCTAGAGAAACCTTCAAGTATCTAAAGGAGACTACAAAAGAACTGGAGAGGGACAGTGTACAAGGGCATGTAGTGACAGAACAAGGTGGAATGGCTTCAAATTGGAAGAGGGGAAGTTTAGCTCTTACAGAGACTTTCTTTCCTGTGAGGGTGGTGAGGCACTGGGACAGGTTGCCCAGCAAAGCTAAGGATGGTTCATCCCTGGAAGTGTTCAAGGCCAGGCTGGATGGAGCACTGAGCAACCTGGTCTAGTGGAAGGTGTTGGGTGTGTGCTCATGGCAGATGGCTGGAACTAGATGGTCCTTGGGGTCCTTTCCAAAACAAACCACCCCATGATTCTAACTTGAAACCACAAAACAAGTTCTTCAAATCTGGAAGACAGTAACACACCATCTTAAAGAAACAGGTGTCAACAGAAGACAGAGGAACTAGAGATTATTTAGCCTAATTCCAATTTACAGAAAAAAACACTTAGGTGGATACAACTATCATCTACCTAGAAAATAAGACATTAAGAATAAGAACTAATAAACACAATCACATAAAAAAATTGAAAACAACCAAGTCAAACTAGCCTTTGTTACTATGACTGGATAGGCTTGTTCAGAGGACCAGTAGACATCTTAACATCTGACATTTCCACTATATTCTAAAAAATGCTACAGAAACATGGTCTAATAAGAGCAAATTGTGGGCAGTTTAGTCTGTGCTCACTTAACTATCTAATTTTGAGGCAGGCAGCAAGGATTCTTCCTTTGAAGGCAGTATAGCCTCATAAAACCCACAGGTATCACAACGCTGCAAGTCCATTACAGGAAAGGATCAAAATTAACAAAGCTTGAAACTGGAGAGGGGGTCTGAATGCAAAGGATATAATTCAGTTGAAACAAAAGCAAGAACTACAGTCATATATATATTTAATGAACTGCATGAACCTGAAAAGGGAAGCAACTGAATTAAGAGGAGCTGCTGCAGATCACAGCCTGCTCTGAAAAAGGAAGAAATAGACATAAGAGCAATAATTTGCAAGACACTTGCAGCATGGTCTTTGACATCCATACACCAGGCAGACACTGTTGATTTTCAGTACTGCATATTAAGAAAAAAATATGGATGACTGAATTAAACATAAGGGGAGAATACTAAGACTAATAAGGGTATAACATGCAATCACAGACTGAAATAAATCACTTGATCTAGGGAGAGGGGAAAAAAAGAAGCTATTAAGCAATCTTCAAATATAGAGAAAGCTGAATGAAAAGGGTAAATTGTTTACCTTCTCCACTAAAGATGAGAATAAATGGATAAGAGGTCAAACAAGAAAAAAAATAATTATACAAAATACTTCTTTGAAAAGAGTGGAATCACTTTGAGATATCCTGCAAACACAACAGACAAGGACTTGTCAAATACAACTTTAAAACAGTCCATCTTGTTTGGCAGCAGAGGATACTCTGCAGCATTTTATTCACTTGTACTAAGAAGTTGCCACTGATGCAAGACAGTAAAATCAATGTACTAAACACTGTTAAACATCAACTGTGAGCTTTGGGGTTTCAGCACAGCAATAAAACCATACACTTGCCCAGCATGAGGAAAAAATAAAAAGTTCAAAATATTACCATTTGTCTCAGCAGCACTAAATAGCTTAAGTGATGTAAGCTCCAAGTAGGTGGCAAAAGCTGATTATTTACGTTCTTTAAAATCCCCATAAGAACCTGACGAGATCCATGGCTATCAGGTAACTGATGCAGCTGTTGCCATCTACACACACACAGAGCCCAGGGAAAATGGAGCTACAAGACAGTCTTTCACCACCTGAAGAACTGACTTACTGGCTACAAGGATATCCAGGCTAATTTCATTTTGCCCAGTTACAGAAACTGTCTGACTAAGCCTTGCAGTCTGTTCAGAAAGAGCTGTTACACTAACAAAAAAATTTTAAGGAGTACTCAGGCATAGGCCCAAGATGGATGATGAAAAACTCCCCAGATCCTCTCCCTGCAAAATGTAAAAGCTAACTCTCATTAGAAAGAACCAGTTCCAAATTCCTCTCTCCTGCATCTGCTGTAAATGTTCTCACAAATATGTGTCCATTATAGTTTGCTAACAAGTAAAATTACATGACTCCTATGTGATACAGGTTTATTGGGAAGCAAGCTTAAAGGAGTTAGTTTTCAACTCTACAATTGTGAAAGCTAAGTCAATTACTTGACAGATGCAGACCTTCCAGGTAAACTTAGGAGAATCCCAATTTGACTGCAGCCACAGAATTTACTGTGCAATCTGACTCTTGTCACAAAACTTGATGACTTAGAAATATGCATTATTTAAAACCAAAAAAATCCCAAAGCCACATCTGTCACAAAACAGGAGATGGAAGACTGAGTAGTAACAAAAGAATCAACTTGAAAACCAAAAATTGATAAAACACTCTAACACTTTCCATTTCAGGCTTAGTTTAACATTCTCCTTTTTACAATACTTTTTTTTATCTTTTAAAATATTTACATTTGTCAGATTGATTACATGCACTACATGAGCTCTGAGAAACCACCAAAGAACCTCTTATACCAAAGTGTGCTTCATTTCAGGGTTTTTGTTAAAATTAGCAAAGAAATAACCAAGTTTCTCAAAGCTGATGAAGTCCAAGATGCATACTCAAAGCAGACTTGATAAAATCAGCTTCCTACTTAGACCTCAGAAAACAAATCCTTCCTCAACTGAGGCTATACAACAACTGCTAGACATGGCTCAGGCTGCCCAGGACAAAGATGGGGAAATGTAGGAACAGAAAACCAAATACATTTTAAAGTTTCATCAAAATGTACTGCCACAAGATATTAGAATCCCTTTAAAAGATGCACAAAGAACTTAGTGAGACAGGATAATGTTCTCAATCTGCACAAAATGTAGTATGTCAAAAAGGAGAATACAAAGCTAACAAAACATTTCAACTGCAGCAGACCACATGAAAAAAAAACCAAACAAAATAAACAGCTAAAGTAAAAAATAAATAAGAAAATCATAAAGAAAATAAGAATAAACAACTATGCAACCAAGATACTGACTTAAATATTCCAAAAAACAAGAATACCGCACAGAAGACAATTAAAGTCTGATGTTTGCCTGTACATGTTATTTATACACATTATAACCCTAAGTTAGCAAAAATATAAGAAGCCAAGCATTTTCTGTCAAGCAACCAAACTGAGAAATTATAAAATGCCATGAAAACTAAAGAAAAAAAGGAGGGGACACAAAGGAAAAGAAGATACCAGAACTAAAGCTCCAACCAAGTAAAATATAGCTTAGACCACAGAGCTGACCAGCTGAATGCTGTGATAGTACAGTTCAGCTTCTTCCATCTACCACAGCCCCTCTCTGTTCCTCCTTCACTTACACAAAAATGGGGAATTATGATTTCAAACCCAACAAACACAGGACTGGTTTAACTACAGATGTTGATGTTACCATTGTAATAACAATTTAATCTAGCCTTCTAGTAAAATAATTCTATTATAATCCACAACAATAAAATTTGGGCTTTTTTTAACTATTTCTTTAGGGCAGGTACTAACACACAGCTATGCCTGTGTTAATGCTACCCATGACAACCAGCTGGATTTAAGGAACATACTTACAAGGACAGATCCAGCTCTTCTTATCTAAAATGGCCAAAGAGCAGCTCTGGAGAATTGCCCATCATATGTTCTATGATTTTTATTATTAGTGATTCAGTTTATATACTCAAGAACAACAGTGAATGTAGTTCACAGAATATTCATATTCCATGGCAGAAGATATTTTCTCAGCCAGCACTGCAAATGTTCTCTTGCAGCAACATTTTAGTTCTGCATATCCTTGTGGATAACACACACTTGAAATTTGTCAATACATGCAAGTGTTCTATGCAAATGTTTATGCAGCCAAAGGGGAAAAAAAGACATGTTTTTCACTAAAAAGATGACAGTGTAGCTTACACCTGAACTCTTTCTTATCATCTCAAAAGTGAAGATTAAATAGTTTAAAGCTGATTCATACAACATCTAAGTTCACAAATATAGGAGTCAAAAGGGTAATTGTGAGATAAAGTTGATATAAATAACAGGATTGAGTTTCTGCATAAATTGTTTTATACTCACTGAATCGGGTTTTTTGCAATAACCTCATCATCAAGATAAAAAGACAGATTTTTTTTTTCCTGAAAACCAGTGCTATAAATAATTTCTGTGCAACAGAAGTGTATTTTCTACAGCAAGTTAATAAACAGCAAAGGTGATGTTTAATCAGCAGCTGTTGTTAAGAGAGTATACAGTAATTTCTCTCCAAAAACAATTAAAATAAAATATTCTAAAGCTGCCAGTCATTCTACCATTTAACTTAAGTGCTTTGCAGAGAATCCAGCCAAGTGAGGAGAAATTCAAAGGGCCAAGAACCAAATCTCTAGCCACATTAACCCCCAAGCCCTTCTCTGAGGATGGATTTAGAAAACCCAAACTACAAATGCAGCTAAAATAACTGTGCCCTATGCAGGTTTTTATGTATAACATTCTATTAAAGCATTTCAGTTTTATACACATAAACTACTGTTCAGACACCCAGAAAGTCACAGCTAAACCATTTTAATCCTCCAAAACTCACGGTTAATCTTCAGCTACAGAAACAATCCAAAGAAACCTACGCACACAAGCATGCAAACACTCACCCTCCCACCAAAAATCCAATTTAATGCCTCAGTGAATAATTTTATGTCTCTTTTCATCTTCAATAACACAGAACTAACTTATTAAAGAAATCCCTTGTTTCTAGTCTTGTGTCATCCACACAGCAGAGCTAATAGCAACTACTAGAAAAAAAACCCATTCACAGTTGTTTGAAACCATTATATGACTTTAGAAAATAAAATGCATAACCTCTTACCTGAGCATGAAAATTTGACATAGTCGTTGTCTCTATATCTTTCTTTCCCAAAATCTCCATTTTCACTGGTGAATTGGGAAAATTAAACGAAAAGTAGTCTAAAAAGTCAGGTAAATAAGTAGCTGCCCCATGAACAATACCCATTACATAGTAAGCTGCACAGTTTTCATTTTCACTAAAAACCAGACCCACAAACTCTTCTGCAAATCTCTCCATCTCCACAGGAGACAAGTGGGAGAGTTCATTACTGTAGGCATGGATAACTGATGCACCTCCGTTAGGCTGGTGCTCAATATGAATCAGCTGTTTGAACTCCAATGTGTCCAACCTTTTGAGTTTATTTTGAACCCGTGGCTCCTTTAACGAGACAAATGGAAACTCACTGTTCTCTGGTATCTTGGACTCACAGTCCTTCTTGGGATCCATATTTTTCCCAATGAAATCCTTAAGATGATCATCTATGATGCCTTTGGCTTCCTGATCCTCAATATCAGAAACCAATCCTGAGCAGATGGTCTGAATGGATTTGCTGTACATTTTTGGACGCTTCCTCTTCTCATTCTCTTTATGTTTCTTTTTCTTTTTCTTCTTAACTTTTTTAATCTGTAGCTCTTCTGCATTGGTTTTTGGTTTCTCCTTCCCACCTGTTGAAAGTTTAAAAAAAGAGATCTCTTAAGGAAGTTTTTATACAAAATATATATATTTAAAGATTGGAATTCAAAGTCACCAAAACCCTCACCATGGCACACAAAGACCAGAGACCAAAAGAAGGGTCACAATGTGTATGTTGCCAAAAGTGAGGAGGGTAAGGGACACCTGCCATGGTCACAGTGCAACTGATAAATAAGTTGAGACAACAAGGGAAAGACATCACAATAACCCAAATTTCCCAAGGCTGCTTTCATGATGAGTTGGAGTCCATCATTTCCTTTAGCTGGCATTAGCAGTTACTGTCCCATGAAGTCCAGAGACATCACAGGACAGCTGTCCCACACTGCCAAACAAGGGGCTTACAAACCATCGTGGATATGAACCTGCAGCAGCAAGCTGCCCACGAGGTGCCACTGCCAGAACTGACCTTGTCTGATGGACTTCTTCACATGGTCACTCTTTCAAAACTAGATAAACTTTGATGGAAGTTTATATGATCCCAAACATATTATAAACTAAATAAAATTAAAATAAAAGAAACATTAAAGAAAACGCTCACAAAAAAGAAACTAGCTTCACGTTCACACAATATACAAGCTGAAGTGAAAACAAATTGGAATAGCATATGCAAGTGATTCCCAAGGTAAATGTTCTCACTTGTTTTAAACAAGTGAGGTTATTTTTTTTTGCAAGTAATAGAAGTGGTAGCCAAAAAACTTCTAGCACTACACTGCCCTAAGATCAAGCAGTCAAAATAATTTAGCACATAGTAAAACAAAGTTAGTGGGTATGTTTCAGCACAAAATCATATTCACACCAGTGATTCAAGACCAGCATGTTCAAACACAGATGCTTGAGGTTTAAAAATTGTGTATTTCCATTGTAAGACTAAGTAATATGAAATCTGCAAGAGTTAAGTTAGACAGTCTCTACTAGAATGTTGCAGCAGACTATTTTCAGCCTGCCATCCTGCACCCAAGTAACTTCCCAAGAGTCCTTTAAGAAAAAGAAAAGTGAGACCACAACTGTTGGTGCATGAAAACACGAATTCTTGCTGATGATTAAGAGTCTGGACATGGAAGATGCAGATACTGGAAAGGAGAACAAGCAATTGAGACACTAGAGTCTGAGTCCCCTAAAGTTTGTGACAGCAGCTAAATACTTCTGTGGTTCCTGAACTGGAGGCAGATTTCATAATCTCCCTGGATTCTATTTTCTCACAGAGAGGAGAATGAGAAGTGCCCTGAGGTCACCTCATTTCTTATTTAGCCCAAACAAGGAAATGGATTCTAGGATTTCTTAACCTAATCCACACAGTTAATAACTACAAAGACTCCCTTCACTCAGAATCAGATTTAACACCGTGCACTCTCTGAACACAATTGCACTTTTAGCTAACTAAAAGTTCATCTACCAAAAGGCAGAGTGTCTTCATAGAAGTCTGTCCTTTCTTGGGCTAAATTTAATGTAAACCCAGCATCAAACCTCAGCAACAGGATTGCCTCAGCTGGTAGATGCAATATTCACCATTTCTTTGTTAATATCCTCTTTCTGTCACAGAGTCTTTAAGTCTAGTGGGCATGAAAAGACCCGGAAGAGCAGCAACAGGTGTTCAACAACTAATTCCATAGAGGAATCCTGAAATGGTTCATGCAGGGTGACATTCATTGTGTGAAATTGTAATGTGTCCTTGTCATTACCTGGCAAAAATCACCTACTGCTGCATTCTAGGGTATTGTAATAGTGTCATTATGACCCCAGCTCCAGACAGTGGGAAATAAAAACAAAGAAATGGATTATGACAGTGGGAAGTTAGGCATGGCAGGCTTTGAATCTCAATATAAATCTCAAAATACAGACTTGGACATTTTTCCTCTCATCCTGACTGCAGGAACACAACTGCAAAAAAGTATTGCAAACTCTTAAGAATGCTATCACTTAGGATTTTAAAATTGTTTCACTCTAAATATGAACAATTTTTGCTATGCTGATGGATATCATGAAGTCAAGCATTCTGCAGATATTATATTAGTTTGAACATACAAACTATAAAATTATAGCACCAAATGCTGGAGCAAGGTGACGCAGAGGGAAGCAGGAGTTACCTGCCAACCCACTTCACTTGTTTTTAAATGGAGATCAGATTTTTGTTCAAACTAGTCATTCAGATCTGGGACATTATGTATGGTAGGGAAAGGATGGAAATTTATATTTACTGGAGTTCAATCAAAATAATATAAATGGCAAAGAACTTCAAAGCGAGAAGCTATTTGCTGTGGTAACAGCCAAATTGCTCTCTCCTACTTAGGCATGTTTGTTATCACCAAAGAAATCCTAACACAAATTAAGATCAGCATCTGTATGTTCTTGCTGAATATCCAGCTATTAAATCACATTATATCATTACTACCTGAAATATAAAGTACTTATAGACTAGATGGGTATGAATTTTTATCTGTGCAAAACAACAAAAACTATTGACTTGCATTCCGAAAGTAAAAGAAGGAAGATGATCTGATTTCCCCTTTCAATCTGTCCCATTCCTTTTGATTCGATCTTCTGAGAAGTTTTACTAACAATCAATTTCATTCAACTGCTCCTGTAATATCTGGTAACGGTTTCTTTAATCCATCACTTAATGTATTTCAAGGATGCAACTATGCAATAAGATTTTCAAAAACTAACCAACCAAACAAAAAAAATTCCACTATTAAACAACGAAGCAGGCTTCCTGCTTCCTCCTGGTCAATGCCCGAGGCAGTCAGTGTTTAAGAGGCATTTGGACAATGCCCTTAACAACAGGGTTTAACTCTTAAGTCAGCCCTGAGGCAGCGGGGCAGTTGAACTGGATGTGGTTAATTGTAGGCCCCTTCCACTTGAAATTTTGGTTTTTTTCCAATCATCAGTGAGCAACTCAAAAGAGCACAGCCATGGTCTTGAAAGCAATGCTGCCTTTAAGACAGAAACAACACAGATGGCATGTAAATAAGTCTCATATTATGCAAAGTTCACATGAACATATCCAAAAAGGGTTTGTCTTCAAAATTAGTTGTAAAAGTACTTCTTATTTAACTTGGTATACATCTAGGGAAGCACTTAAAACCTTAGAAGGAATTACACCAAGACATTTTTTAATGAAGAACATTTATCATTCCCTCTGTTTTCATAACATATCTATTAAACTTTCAGAAGAGATAAAAGTTTTTAACCAGAGGATAAAAATACTTCTTCGGGTATATATAAAAAAATGTTCCGCTCAGCTTTAAATATACTGATTTTAATACAGACTGCTTTTACTTCTGAACACAGGATAAAAGGGTTATGCTATTTACATATATACCAATTACTACAATTTATCATTGCACACTTTCACACCAAGTTGCAAAAACAATAAACACAATTTGGAACAAAATATTTGCCCATGGCCCCTCACTTCTGTGCACAACTCTCTTCCACAGAATTTTTTTGATCTCTATATTTAAGAAGAATGGAACTGAGATCAGTTTTAATTCTGAAGCACTTGGAAACCAAGAGAGCAACAATCACTGAAAGAATAAAAGGCTATACAACAAAAAAAAACCAACACCAGAAGATCTATGACAGAAGGTAGCAGGGCCCCCTGAAATGCTACTTGCAACTGAAAGAGCAAAAAACTGCAAGTGTCTATCCTTGGGAGACAAAACATCAATCCTGGCTTCAAGGTCTGAACTACTTATGCCACTGAAGGAGAAAAAAGCCTTAAAACACAGAAATCAGAAGATAAAAAGGATTCCAAATGGGCTTTTTCCAAAACATTACTAGAATTAAAGACTTTGAAAATAAACCTGCATACCAACAAAAGTAAAACTCAGATCTCCAAAACCACTTCAAGCAAGAATTAGGTAACACAACTTCAAAAACTGCTTAGTTGTTTTGAGCCTTTTTAAAATTCACACGAGCTTTTGCTATTGCATACACAAGCTCTGTCAAAAACTCCATTTCCCCACAAGCAGCAAATGACATACATACAGAAAATTATTTGTATAGATACCTCATACACCCAACATTGCAAAGAAAAAACATTTTAAAATCAAATTGTATATTGGAAGACTGAAAAAATGTGACACTGAATTCTTCAGCCTTCAAATAGATATGACACAACTGAGCAATGTATGAGCTCACTGCCAGATGATCCAACCCCCCACTCTCCTCTGTCACTGCTCCTGGCACACAGTCTGCACCACTGCTGCTACTGACTGATGCTCATCAACTGCACAGTAACTCAAAGGCTCAGCAGAAAACGATTCACTCTGATGCTACATCAGTGAACTGTCAGACAGGAACTAAAGCATACAGGCCACTGACAGCAGGATACCAGAACCCACCCCTCCTTGGAGCAGCAAACCATCTGCTCTGCTCAGATACCTTATCCCCCACACCTTCTCCATCCACCCCAGCACTGAACAAAGCTGAATTTTTACAGGTTAAAAAAGTCCCACCACCTCACCCAACAGTGGATTTATGAGACAGGATCAATTTCCTAGGAAAACGTAACAGAATTTCTTGTAATCTGAACATTTGAACTTTTAAATTTAACAAAAGTTACAAAATTTACCTTTTAAAGGTAACACTTGAGTTCATTTATCTGTAATACAGACCAGACAACAATTTCCTCCATGTACCCTCTTAAAATGAGTATGGGTGATGCTTGGTCTCCACACTGCTTTGACACCTGCATACACCCAATTTTTGAATATTTATGTTTAACTGTTTTAGTGTACAGACAGTTCTCTTGAGGAATACAAACATGAAATGAAAAACTGATTTCTAGAAGTAAATAGTATTTCTCAGTAAAGTTTGAATAGAATGTGACAGAGAAGGAAGCACATCTCTAGCCTAAGGTTTCTGCTCTAATGAATTCTAAGATCTACTCTGAAGTAGATGTTTAAAACTGCTCAGAAGCTGCAAATACTTAAGAGCAAAAAGAGTTAGCTTGCTGAAATACTGGAATTGC